TATGGTACCCGAACCATAACATCACTCCTCGATCGGCTCTGATGTATGGTACTCGAACCATAACATCACTTCCTCAATCTGCTCTGATGTATGGTACCCGAACCATAACATCACTCCTCAATCTGCTCTGATGTATGGTACTCGAACCATAACATCACTTCCTCAATCTGCTCTGATGTATGGTACCCGAACCATAACATCACTCCTCAATCTGCTCTGATGTATGGTACCCGAACCATAACATCACTCCTCAATCGGCTCTGATGTATGGTACCCGAACCATAACATCACTCCTCAATCGGCTCTGATGTATGGTACCCGAACCATAACATCACTTCCTCAATCTGCTCTGATGTATGGTACCCGAACCATAACATCACTCCTCAATCGGCTCTGATGTATGGTACTCGAACCATAACATCACTTCCTCAATCTGCTCTGATGTATGGTACCCGAACCATAACATCACTCCTCAATCCGCTCCTTAGAACCTTCAGAATGCTCCCTGTATCAAGTATGGGTCCTCTGCTTTCAGTAGTACGGGCCCATACTACCTGCCACATCTACCCATACTTTCCACACGGACCATCCCAGAGCTTCTAAATAGCTGCTCGACCTGCTCTTTCACCAATCCCATCGCGCGTGCTCGCTCCCCAGCGAAATTCTCTATTCTACAAGCGCACTCACCTGGATCGGGTTACTCCCTAAGCTCTTTCGTTGTCCTCCCACTTCTTTGCTATCAGCTGCTGAAGAGCTCCTAATGATGCCAGCCATCTACCTCCTGAATATCGTCATATTCACTTGGTAGCTGACTCCCATCATCGAGAGTTCCACAAAGCACAAAGCAAGCAGCATTCGAGCATCGAAGAATACATAGGACTCCCTCTCTGTGATAACTCCACCTTCTCGGCTCATCCTCGAAAGTACCACCAAACTCTGTAACTCTACCCCTCATGGGTTCTAACTGGATACTCTCACTCATCACATACTCAAAAGCATAACACATATAACAACGAGTCCTAGACTAAGGCATCACAAATCAGGCCACTCTAGTCCTAACATATGAAATACCTAGACTGTCTCTAGCATGCAATATTATCTCATAAGGTGCATCATAAATATCTCATAACACAAAAAAAAATAAGGGTATTTTGGGAAATCACCGTTCGGGCTCAGGCTGATTGTACACACTGCTCTTTCTTGCTTCCTCTTTGAACCCTTATTCATTTTTAGAAAATTATTTCCTTAAAACTTTTCTTACTTCCTCAGTTTGAGTCCAGATTTACCCGAAGGCGCATCCGAATCCCTCAAACCAAGGCTCTGATACCAACTTGTAACACCGTAAATTTCAAGACAAATTTTTCATTTAAAATAATCATTTTATTCTTAGAAACACTTGTTTAAAATCTCATTCATAGTCGATTTACAAAACATGACTCCATTTTCACTTGCATAGAAAACCAGGATCCTCCAAAATATGACTCTTTCTCTGGTGTGTACAATCAAGCCGGTGCCGTCCCGTGATACTGAAAGAAACCTGAAAAAAACATCACACAAAACACTGTAAGCACGAAGCTTAGTGAGTTCCCCAAAATACCACACATAACACATATTAGCCACTCGAGGCTATAACTCTATGGGTCCGTGCACCCAAACTCTGTGAACCCTCAGGCTCTAACTCTGGGAACCTTCCGGTTCCAACTCTATAAACATGCACAACATAAATCACATAGAAATAATGCAGTACAACACATCACGTACATATAGCATACAAATACTCTGAACACATAACTCTGGTTACCTACTCAAGGTAAAGTATAGTGAGAAGACTCACCTGGCAAGCAGAAAGCAGATATCCCCACACTGGAATCTCGAACTCGCCACCGCCTAACACGTAAAGCAAATATTCTCATGAATATAACTCTCGAGACTAGAATAAATCCTCTCATAACACCCTCTCATGGGTAAAAGACTAGTTTACCTCTCTCTTGGCCCAAAGGCCACATCGCTGACCAAACCCTAAAAGTCAACGACCAACCCTTGGTCGAAATCAAAGTCCTCAGTCTAAGTCAACCCCTGACTGACCCTACTCGCCGAGTCAACTCTGTGACTCGTCGAGTTCCCATAATCAGAACTTCATTCAATCTGCGACCTAACTCGCCGAGTCCAACAACTTTGAGTCCACTCGCACTCGACTCACCGAGTCATCCCTCAACTCACCGATTCTCGACTCTACCAGAGAATATTTGGGACTCTTCGACAAGACTCGCCGAGTCCAAATGGACTCGTCGAGTCCAAGGCTATCTTCAACCTACTCGCCGAGTTGTTCTTCCAACTCGTCGAGTTCCAGGCCATCTGCAAGCAACTCGTCGAGTCGACCCATGTGACTCGCCGAGTACCACCGTTCTGAATCCATTCAGAAGCACTCCAGGCCATGCAATTGATCCAAAACATAGATCTAGCCTCCTACAACCCATCCATCACGTAAAGTGGCAAACTTTACGTGAATCCAAAGAGATCTAAGCCGTTTGCACATTGGGCTAGGATTTGGGACAAGATGACTCCATCAACCACTCACAAACAGGGACTTTCATGCACTCTAGACCTTCTCCCTTCCAGATCTGAGGTAGCAACCTCAGATCTAACCTCTAAACTCCAATACATCCAAAGATATGATCTCCAACATCCCCAAAATGATGCATCTAAGAAATAGCAGCTCAAAAAACGAGATATTACCTCAAAGGAATGCCCTAATTGAAATGAGACTCGAATTCAAACAAAGCCCCTTGCTCCAAGCCTTCAATCTCCCAAAATTCCTTCACAAATACATTCTCCAAGCTCCACTCCATCCAACAATGGTGCTTCTTCATGATTTAGGGGTTTCTGGGGCTCAAGGGGTGATAAAGAGGCTGGGAGGGAAACATAATGATCTTTATATAAGGCTCAACCCCGAGAATTAGGGTTTTCTCCACTCAGCGCCTACTCGCCGAGTCCATTACCCTGACTCGCCGAGTCGGCCACTTAACACGCGACCAAGTCGCGACTCTACTCGCCGAGTCCGCACATGGACTCGCCGAGTCACTCTTTCCCAATTTACTCTTTTAGCCCTTCAACTCTACTCTTGATATTTCGGGATGTTACACTTAGCGTACCTTCCCCAAAAGCTGGTGTTTACCTGTATTACTGAATCTCTAAGAAATATAAGTAGTTTTGAAAAAGTGTCAACAATTAAGCTTACGAGTTCATAACAATTTTTGTATATGAATAGTATGCCTTTTAGTATAAAGGAATTCGAGTTTGTTTCTAGAAAATCCAATATTTTCCATAATTGAGTGGTGGTTTTAAAAGTTCCAATAACCGGAATGCATATGTATTTTCCATACCTAATATAGTATAAGTATATATATATATATATATATATATATATATATATATATATATATATATATATACAAATATATATATATATATATATATATATATATATATATATATATATATAATCAATAAGGCATTTAATAGCTCTGTAAACCAAGATGTATTTATACTCCATGTGAGTTTTTATAACCGTGCTATTGACCCAGACTGTCTTTAATAACGTTCTTCAGGCGTTGGAATGATATGACATTTGTCACCCCAGACCCGCCGGTCTTACTGTAGCTAACAGTTTAGGTGTGGGATTGTCCATCTCATATAGATCAATACACAAAAATCACGCTCTCCCTACTAGAGATTATGGCTTATAAAACTATACTTAATCTATGAACTGAAAGGTTTAATGAAGTCAAATATCTCACAAAATTTAGTATCAACAGGTTTACGTATGAAAAGTCCATTTTTCTTGTGAATATAAGTATTTCCTCTTTCGTTTATTATATGTAAAACTATCATGAATATCCACTACTAGAAAAACAGCCTTTTACGACGCTCATTGCGCGTCGTAAAAGGCTCGGACGACGCGCAAATGCGCGTCAAGGAAGGCCCTATCATAAAGAGAGACGACGCGCATTTACGACGCTCATTTACGACGCGCGTTTACGACACACAATGCGTATCAAGGAAGGCTCTGTCATAAAGGAAGACGACACGCATTCGCGTGTCGTAACCTTACGACGCGCGTGTTAATGACACGCAATGCGTATCAAGAAAGCCCCTGTCAAGAAAGGCCATGTCATAAATGAAGATGACACACATTTTGCGTATTGTGAATTTAAATGTTTAAAAAAAATTATATATTTATTAATTTTTAAATTAAATTTGCATTTAATTTCTCATAATAGAAATAAAATACTTTTTTGATAGATTTACTAATTTTCAAATTAAATAACACATTAAAAGTCTCATAATACAAAATAAAATACCATAAACAATAAAGATAATAGATTGCACTAAGGACCATGTTAACAAAAGAATATAACATTATATACCATAAGTACCCTCAAGTAATCAATCTCTTACAATGTTACTAAAAATACCCTCAAGTAATTAATGTCTTACAAAGTTAAGAGACTTAGATACTCAGTTGGTATGTAATATGGCACTAAGAAGCCCAAAAATTGTTTGTGTTTTTCCTGTTCCTGGTGGATCCTACATGGAAAAAAGGTAAGAATTAACATTTTCAAAGTACAATGCCTCAATAAGGAAATCAATGGTAAAAGGCAAATCCGAATAAGAACAAACTTTATACATATATACACGGAAGTATTGTAATACACAATAACAACAACAAATACCAAATTACCCTTTGCTTACCTTTTCTTATGGCCACCTCCAAAAGTGAGAATTTGATAAAAGATTTAGGTCACACATTCTCTCATCAAGCTTTGTATCCAAAAGTGAGAATTTGATAAAAGATTTTAAAAGTGGGAAAATATCAAGAATATAGAGGATAATACATTAAGAAAAAAAATTACCTTCACAAAGAGCAAGTTTCAACCTTCTTCCCCAACAATGTTTGAAAGAAAAAAGCTCATATATATCGATCTCTGCTAAAAGGATATCTATTGCTTGATGATCTTTCTGCAAATTGAAGTACAAAATATATTAGATCATATGCCTAATATATTTTGTACTTCAATTTGCCAAAAAGATCATCAAGCAATAGATATCCTTTTAGCAGAGATCGATATATAAAAGGGTTGTTATACTTCTTTACCTCTTCATCATCCTCATCACCAAAGTCCTCTTCATCAGCATCCTTTAAAAAAAGAATTTTCAAAAACAAAATCAGTAACACAATAATGAAGGAAGGTGGATTTCAAAAAAAGAAAAAGAAAAGGTTTTAAGAAAGGTTTTATTCAAGCAAAAAATAAAAAGATGCTTATTTTTTATGATTAATTAAAAGAATATATAATCTGAACATACTCCATCTTGAATTTAATCCATGTCATCTTCACATTGGGTCCCACTGAACCAGCTAAAGAAGCTGTTGCATCAAACCAATCAAGAAACAAAATATAGACCTTTTAGTTTATGTTTCTTGTTTACTTAACAAAAACAAGACTTAATCAAGAAAAAAAATATAGACCTGTCCCTAACCTTCTGTGCTGTGGAAAAAGCTAATCCAACCAAACCTCTTATCCTACCAACCTCTTTCTCAACTGTAGCCTTCAACTTAGCATCAACATGAAACCAAACTCATTTTATACATTAGCCAATTATAAAACACTTCATATCAATATCTGAAAATTTTAACTAATGACAAAAATAACCTTGTCAATGCAGCGATCAGCATCCAGGAGATAACATAAGTAGAGACTTGCTTGTACACATCAGCCGCCGTATACTAGTCAAAAATTAAATTTTCAGTTTTTGATCAAGGGTAATGACAAAAATAGTGTTTTTGACTTTGAGATGAAAACCAACCCGTCTCACAAGACGACCATTACAGCGAAGGTAATTTGGGCATACTGTTCCTCTCTCAGATTCACCAACAACATGCAAGTTTAAACTCCATGTTGTATAGTCGCATGTTTCATCATCACACTGAAATTTTACATCCAATTTCAGTAAAAAAAATTAAAAAATAAAAATTATAATAGCATTGTTTGCATACCGTCATAATTCCTTTGTAGTATGTGGATATGAAGAATTCAATTCGTCTTTTTATCTGATTCCATTCCACCAACAATTTACTCACTTTATTTCTTTGATTTCCATGTATTATATACTATATATGTAGGAAAAACAAACCTGATTGGATAAAGATGTTGGAGGGAGTTCCACTTGACACTTAGGGCAACAGAATTTCTGCCAAAAGGTAGTGGTGGTGTTATATCCACTGGAACCTGCAAAATACAAATCAAAATAAAATAAGGAGTAAATATAAGGGATAATTAAAGTTATATACTACTAAATAGAAGTAAATACATGTTAAGTTATATACGACTAAAGTCATATATGTAGGATGGAATTAAGCATAAAATCCAGCTAAAGAATTATTTAACAAATGTAAGTGCTCTCTTTTCATTGGATCCCTACAATAAATTACCACCTGATAAAGCCAACCATATAAAATCATCATTATATCATTGGAAACAGTTATTTCACCTTCAAATAACAAGATATTAACCATCATGCCTTGGTAAGTGAAGAAGATGCCACTGGACGTGCAATCTTTGCTGAAAATGATGTTAATACAATTGCTAAAAATGATGATCGGGAAGAACATAAGTCTCAACACGAAGATAACAACAGTACAATATCAAGTCCATTGGCACCATTGATGGAGGAGGTGCGTACAACTATGTCAGGTGAATGTGTTTATGTTGGTGCAATGGGGATTAATGCTCTGACATGGATGCAAAACCCACAAGTTAGTTTTGTTAAACTATTCGATCCTGCTTGGTTGAATGATTTTTCTCTATCTAGGCAGGTTCGTTACAAGGCTACTCCTGATGTAGTTGTTACACTACAAGAAATTACAAGAGTAATTGCTACTAAAGTCCCTGAAGAAATTGATGCATGTTTACATGATGGTAGTTTATGGTTGCTACATGATGGTTGTATTGGGTGTTACAAAGAAGAAAATTTTGAGGGAGATGGGAAAGTGCTCGAAATGATGAAGCATGAAGTTCCTATATCCCTTGGAATGTACAATATCAGGATTCAGATCTTGTGTAAGCTTAAAAAGAGTATTCTAGTTAGAGAGTTACTCAATTGGCTTATATCAATAAACGTGAAGCCTAATTCAATTACTTACAATCATTTTATTCATGGATATTGCAAGGAGGGGAAGTTAGTTGTTCTAAAGAGAGTTATGTTTGATCCTTTTGACACAAGCAAGAAGATGCACACCACCAAGTCGCACATGAGAAGGGTGTTTATTATGGACGACTGCAATGAGCTGATGCAAAAATATCTTGGTCCCTTGGGGAATGTTATGGATTCCTATGACTTACCAGTCAACAATTCCCATGAAAGGCTACACCGGAACAAGATTCTGCAAGTTATCAAGAAGAAACACATTGAAATGTTCAGCAAGATTTCTAAAAACAAGAAAGATGGAGAAGCTGTGGTAGAACAGTCTTCTGGGGAGCAATCACAGCCTGAGTCAGACATTGAAGCAAACACCTCACGGGTGTCAAAAAATTCATCTTCGTTATCACTGTAACTACCCATCTTCGATTCCTAAAATTTCACCTTGTGAAAACCTAACCGACATATGTCACTGAATTAATATAATTTAGCACGGAAGATTGTATCTTGAATAAATGGAATTTTGGTTTAGGAAAAGGTGAAACAACCGAACCCTAATGCACCTAAGAAATCAAACAAGAAGAATTAAAATAAGGGAGAAGGAACAAAGCATACCTGAGATGCTAAGAGAGTAGAAGTGAGGACCGTGGAATGATGAGGAAATCGCCATTGAAACCTGCATAGTTTTTCAGTTAGGGTTTTCACAGGAGAAGATGAGAAGATCCAAAATCAAAATCAAAGCTATGAATAGAGGAGAGATTAAAGAAATAGAAGAACAAAAACATTAGGAATAGTGAATAAACATAGCATATCTTAGTCGGGCTAGGGTGTGGAAATTTGAGCAGTCTCTGAAGAGGTCACATGCGCCCGAGGTCACCGGAGGAAAATACCCCTAAGTTCGTTAAAGGAGAAGTGAGCAAAGATGTTGCCGACGAGGTGAGGCAAATCATCGATCGATTGTTGTAGAGGCCAAAGAGCACCAAGTGTTTCCGTTCTTGAAAAAAAGCCCTAGTCCCTGCGATTTTGTGGAATTTAGTAGTATTATCCTTGCTTATGTTCTTCTTTTCTTCTTAAATCTTAATAACAATCTCTATGAAATCGCAGGTTGCCTTTTTAGGTTAGAAGGAGAGAGAGAGAGAGAGAGAGAGAGAGAGAGAGAGAGGGGGGAGAGAGAGAGAGAGAGGAAGACGAAGAGGAGCGGGTTTTAATTTTTCACATGGAATAGGCGGGGTTTTAATTTTTGGGGATTTCATTTCCCCCTTTCAAGAACGCGTGTTTTGAGTAAAACATAAAGCGACATTCACAGAGGGCACACATTTTAGATAAAGTGCCCTCTGTGTTTTTATTTTTTTTACATGAGACACTAATCTAAGGGCACGCAATAATGCGTAACATAAATCCTTAAATTTTTGAAGAGACGACACTTTTTTAATATCACTCCCTTTTGCGTAAAATAAATCACTGAGTGTCGTAGATTGCACGTTGTAAAAGGCTATTTTTCTAGTAGTGATCTCGTAAAGTATACCTATTATAGTTTTTCAAAAAGTGTGTTTCATTTGAGTGATAAACATTGGTGTATTACCAACTTTGCATGTAAAGTAGTCTATAATGTTAGTAGTAGCGTTATTTTGCGTATTTAACATTTATACATAAGATGTAGGTAAAACATTAGAACTTATGTGTAACGATTTTTATTTTAACATAACATCTTCTTGCGTTTCACTTGCATTTCGCCCCATAAAACATAGAAAAGATGTGAAAATATAGGGGTATGAACTCACTTGCCAGAAATGGAGTTTCGATGACGATGAGACTAACTCGGGCAACACTTCGAATGGAGAAAGTCAACTTCTCGGAAGTCTTAGAGGCGTCGGGACATGCATCATATGCTAGCAGCGATACCGGGGCTTTGAGGTAGCTTTGAGGGGCTAAATGGGTGTTTGACGGTGAAAGAGTTGAGAGAAAAGCAAGCAAACCTGGAACCCTAACCACCCTTTTGTAGTGCTGGGATGCACCACGAATGCAGGGCGTTCCCCTGTGAGGTCATTACGTACGTATTTCAGACTTGATGGATCATGGGATGGATATGGTCGAAGAACGCAGGGAGTTCCCTCTTGGACCAACCTCGGATTTTGTGCCCCGATCTTGTAAAATCCATAACTTTCACGTATAAGCTCCGATTTTGACGTTCTTTATATCCATACGTAGGTGAGAAAATACTCTACTACTCTTGTTTAATCTTCTTCGGCTAATTTTGATTTATTTTTAATACATTATTTTTAACAGGCCGAGACTAGAAAAGTCCATTAAAAATTCATAACTTCTTCATCCGACTTCTGTTTTTCTCTGTATTTTTACCATTGTACTACTATTGTCGAGATCTTCGATTCTTTTTTAGGTTATTTTACCTAAAAATTGCTCGATCTCTATGTAGAGTTTTTAGCTGTCTACTGCTACGTTGAAAACTAAGAAAAATCATAACTTCCTCATACGAAGTCAGATTTGGACGTTCTTTTTAAGTATGTTTACTAATTTATGATCTTTACGACTTTCATTTAGACACCTAAAGCTAAAAGGTGTTTTATTGAGATTTATTGTTTCACGTTTGTCAGTGCGTTACCGGTTTTGTTACGGATTTTCGATTGGTCATAACTTCTTCGTTATAACTTGGCTTTTTGTGTTTTTTACATTTCTAAAAACCTTGTTAGAATATCTATTACCTTATGCAACCCAATTGATACGTTTGAACATTTTATTTTTGATGAGATTTTTATTATATCAAAAGTAGATTACAAATCCTTGACTTTTAGGTCATTACATTGACTTGAAATATCGGGTTGCTACACCATCCTCCTGTTAGAGAGAATTTTATCCCAAAATTTATTCTAAGATAAGGTGTTTTGGATAGGGAAAAATGTGGGTATTTTAATTTAATCTAATCTTTGCGCTCCCATGTGTATTCAGGCTCTCACTTTGAATTCCAACGGACCTTCACAATGGGTATGCGACTTTGTATAGTTCTTTTAATCTCCCTATCCATGATTTCTACTAGTTCTTCTACAAAGTAAAGACTCTCGTTGATTTCGATTTCATCCAGAAGGACAATGAGTGTCTAATCGGACAAGTAGTTCTTTAAGTTTGACACATGAAAGGTAGGATATACGTTATTGAGTTGCTGTGGTAATTCAAACTTGTAAGCTATCGGTCCGATCTTGGCAAGGATTTCAAATGCTCTGATACACCTTGGATTTAGTTTCCCATGTTTTCCAAAACATATTAATCCCTTCCACGGTGAGACCTTCAATAGCACTCGGTCCCCAACCTTAAATTTCAAGGGCTTCCGTCTTTTTTCTGCATAACTCTTTTGTCTATCTCTTGAAGCTTTTAGTCGTTCCTAAATTTGGACAATCCTTTCGGTCGTTTCTCTTATGATTTTTGGGCCTGTGAGAGTGTTTTCGGGTATTTTTCCTCTAGATAGTTGCGTGTCACCCACATCAGCCCAACACAGAGGTAATCTGCACTTGCGGCCATAGAGGGCTTCAAATGGGGAACCCTAAATGCTAATGTGATAGCTATTGTTGTATGAGCACTCGACTAGTGGTAAATGGGTATCCTATGCCTTGCCAAAATCGATCACACAAGCTCTTAGAATATCTGCCAAAGTTTGAATGGTTCTCTCACTCTGACCATCGGTTTGTAGATGATAAGCGGTACTCATGTCCAGTCTCGTCCCTAGAGATTTTTGAAGTGACTGCCAGAAACATGAGGTGAATCTACTATCTCTGTAGGAGATAATGGATATTGGTACACCATGTAGTCGCACAATCTCTCTGATGTAAGTTTGAGCTAGTTTCTCCATTTTGTCAGTTTTCTTTATTCGTAGGAAATGCACAGATTTGGTTAATCTGTCGACGATCACCCAGATGGTGTCAACTCCACCCGCTGTTCTGGGTAACCCGGTTATGAAATCCATGGTTATCCGCTCTCACTTCCACATGGGTATTTTAGGTAGTTGTAACAATCCCGATGGCTTTTGGTACTCTATTTTGACTTTTGTGCAAGTTAGACACTTGCCTATATAGCTAGCAATTCCGGCCTTCATGTTCGGCCACCAATATAATTTCTTGAGATCTGGATACATCTTGTCTGAATCGGGATGCATGGATTATCGAGTCTTATGAGCCTCATTCATGACAACATCTCTGAATCCACCAAGATTCGGTGTCCAGATTCGATTCATGAACTAATGAACTTTGTCACCCTTGACTTCAAGATTTTTATTCATTCCTCTTAAGGCTTCGCCCATCACGTTTTATGTTTTCAAGTATTCCATTTGAGCTTCCTTGATTTGAATGGATAGGTGTGAATGGATTTGTCATGGTTAAAGATTTCACTCAGCGTCTCGAGTATTCCTTTATACTGAGAGCATCCGCTAATACATTAGCTTTTCCTGGATGATAACGAATCTCGCATTCACAATCGCTTAGTAGTTCAACCAGTCTTCTCTGTCTCATGTTGAGTACTTTTGGTTGAGTATGTGTTGAAGTCTCTTATGATCGGTGAAGATTGTGCATTTTGCGCTATAGAGATAGTGCCTCCAGTTCTTTAGGGAAAAAACGATTGCTCCCAGTTCCAGGTCGTGGGCAGTGTAGTTGACTTCGTGCATCTTGATATGTCTCAAGGCGTATGTGATGACCGTTCCTCATTGCATTATAACATAGGTGCGCTATATAGGCTTGTTTGAGTGTTTGGAAAGCAGCGCATGCTTTCCTCCCCAGTTATATCTTACACCCTTCTGAGTCAGGGCGGTAAGTGGTTTGGCAATCTTTGAGAAGTTTTGTACGAATCTTTGGTAATGGAAACCAAGACCCAAAAATTGTCGGATTTTCGTTGGAGTTCTTGGATCTAACCAGTTCTCGGTTGACTTGATTTTGGAAGGGTCCACGTGTATCCCTTATTTGCTGACCACATGACCTAGGAAATCTACTTTCCGAATCAAAAATTCGCAGTTTGAGAATTTTACGCATAGCTTCTATTTCCTTAGTGTTTTCAAGACCTACCGGAGGTGTTGACTATGTTCTTCTTTAATCTTCAAATAGATGAGTATATAATATATGAGAACGATTACAAACTTGTCCAGGAAAGAGCGACATACTCAGTTCATTAAGTCTGTGTACACCGCCGGTTCATTTGTTAATCCAAAGGGCATCACTACAAATACGTAGTGACCGTAACGAGTTTGGAAGGCCGTCTTAGGAACATCTCCTTCCAAGACTCATAGCTGATGGTACCCGGATCTTAATTCAATCATTGATAAGTAGCTTGCTCCTTCGAGTTGGTCGAACATGTCATTTAGTTCTCGGTAGTCGATGCACATACGAAAAGATCCATCCTTCTTCTTTACGAATAGGACTG